ACTCAGCAGTGTCCAAAGCAAGCTGAATGGCTTTCACCTCTGCAAATTGGCTCGATTCCCCCTGTCCCTCAGCAGCTTCAGTGACTCGTCGTGTGGGACTCCATACAGCAGCCTTCCACTGTTGATGTTTTCCCGCAATGTGACAAGACCCATCAGTGAACAAGGCATATCGCTTCTCCTCATCCAGCAGCTCATTATATGGTGGGGCATCCTTAGCACGTGTCACTTCCTGTTCTGGTGACATCCCGGAATCTTTGCTCTCTGGCCAGTTCGTAATCACCTCTAGTATCCCTGGGCAGCTGGAGTTCCCTATTCGAACCTGTTGTGTTATCAACGCAACCCATTTACTCCATGTGGCATCGGTTGCGTGATACATGGAGGAGGCTTTTCCTTTGAACATCCACCCCAGCACCGGCAGTAGGGGTGCCAGGAGGAGCTGTGTTTCAGTGCCGAGCACTTCTGAGGCAGCCCCAACTCCTTCGTACGTTGCCAGTATCTCCTTCTCAGTTGGTGTGTAATTAGCTTCAGAGCCTTTGTATCCCTGGCTCCAAAAGCCTAGAGGTCGGCCTCGGAGTCTCCCCAGGTGCTCTCTGCCAGAGGCTCCAGGTAGGGCCATTCTCCCCGGCTGCGGTGTAGAGCATGTTCTTAACCTCCTGCCCTTCCCGGGCTGGCCCAAGGGCTACTGCTTGGACAATCTCTCGTTTAATCTGTTCAAAGGATTGTTGTTGCTCAGGGCCCCATTCAAAATCGTTCTTCTTATGGGATAAGTGGTAGAGAGGGCTCACAATCAGGCTGTAGTTCGGGATGTGCATCCTCCAGAACCCCACAGCACCCAGGAAAGACTGAATCTCCTTTTTAGATGTTGGTGGGGCCATGGCTGTGATCTTGTTTATCACCTCCATTGGGATGTGGCAACGCCCATCTTGCCATTTTATCCCCAGGAATTGAATTTCCCTTGCAGGCCCTTTAACTTTCTTTTGCTTAATGGCAAATCTGGCCTTCAGGAGGATTTCAATGATTTTCTTCCCTTTCTCAAAGACTTCCTCAGCTGTGTCCCCCCATACAATGATGTCATCAATATACTGCAGGTGTTCTGGAGCCCCACCTTTCTCCAGTGCAGTATGGACCAGTCCATGGCAAATGGTGGAGCTGTGGTTCCACCCCTGGGGCAATCGATTCCAGGTGTACTGGATGCCTCTCCAAGTGAACGCAAACTGTGGCCTGCACTCTGGCGCTGTCGGAATGGATAAGAACACATTAGCAATGTCAGACATGGCATACCACTTGGCTGCCTTCGACTCCAGTTCATACTGGAGCATACTCCAGCATGTCCGGCATTGCAGTACTCATTGCTGGCGTAACTTCATTCAGGCCACGGTAGTCCACAGTTAGCCTCCATTCACCGTTAGGCTTTCTCACTGGCCATATAGGACTGTTGAAGAGGGAGTGAGTTTTGCTGATCACCTTCTGTCTTTCTAGTTGACGGATCAGCTGATGGATGGGGACCAGGGAATCTCGGTTGGTGCGGTACTGCCGCTGGTGCACTGCCCTGGTAGCAGTCTTCCCCTGGCTCACCCACAGAGGGGGTGAGACCCCTAACAAAAGCACAAACGGCAAACAGGTACCGGCCCGCCCCCACGCACAGGGATACAAAGGCAGCATATGCGTTCAATAGCCCCTATAACAACATAAGTACCTTTACACATTTTCCACCCATAACAAACACCACCACAGGGATCACACACTGGGTATAAGGAGTAATGCAGCCACACCACGCAAACATGTGGGCCAGCATCGCAAACATTTTCTTATCAAACATATACCAAAAAAAATTACACCCAACAGATTGCTCTATCACACTCTGGTCAGGGTCTGTCCCTTTTTATTCTTATAGCTTAGCCCCATGTTGGGCGCCAATTAAATAATGTGCAAGTTTTAATCCTGGCCGGGATGAGAGAGCACGTGGCCATTGCCTCTCCCCCACCCGTGCCTGTCGGGCTGGAAGTTAGACACAGACCCCGGCTAAAATAACAAGAAATTTAATACAACAGAGTGATAGAACAATCTGAACAATAACAGTATCAATGGTAGCAACAATAAACAGCAATAACAGTGAACAAGGCAAACGATATACAGAGAAATACCGATAGCTGGTCTACGGAAAGCAAAATTCCCTCCCCGCCAAGGAGCAAGGAAAAGGTTCCACCCCCAGACCTGATGTCAGCATGGTATGAATAACCCGGCTGGAGATCCCTTCCACCTCTCTCTCTGCTGGGGAAAACTTCACTCTATCCTGGCTGAACCAGGACATATGAAAATAGGAGTATGGCTATTTTTCTTTTCTCTTGAAATAAATTTCTGACTCACAGATATCTTACCATGTGATGGAAAGATTTGTAGGTGTGCAAGGTACTTCATATTAAGCTAGTGGAGTTTTAAAATCGTTTCACTTGGCCAAATTCTTTTGATCTGTTGCAGGTCAGCATGATCTTATTCTAATAAGTTACTGCTAAGTAAATTTCCATACGGAACTGTCTGTTCAGCCATTAACAATTTACATCTTTCTTTTGCAACAGTTTATAATAAGAGGCTGTTTCTGTGTTTTAATGCAGCTAGTTAAAGAGGCAAAAGTTTTTTGCTTGTATTTCTTTGCAATCACTGACTTGATGACCATGCAATGCTGCCTTCAGTTGTACTGTGCTGAAAGTATGAATTAGACTTACCTTTTAACCAGGCATTAGTCCTCTACATGGTTATATTCAGAGTGTCAGGAGTCTTTTTGGATCTTACCTTGATGAAATGAGGTATTTGCAGGCCTGTTAAGCTAGTATTGTAGATTGTGGAAACATATGTTAAAAATGAAAATATTTAATAGTATTAAAAATTTGATACTTAAAAATATCAAAATAGTTAATATTTATTGGATGTCTTTTAGAATAATTAAACTGTCTGCCATAGCAAGGACTGTTGGGTTTTTTTTCTACAGTTTAATTCAACTTGTTCTAGACATAGGTTTGTCTGTTGGATTTCATCTGCATGCATTTACTCACAAAAGTGTGTGAGGCTTATGCCTGGCATAAGCCAGGCCATCATAAGCATCAGGTTTGAAAATTTTCTTTCCCACGGTAAATTTGGGGTCTGAAAGTTCCATTGTTGTCATGTTTTTTTCTTAGAGCTGCAGATTTCACTTTAATTAACTGTTCTTGTGAATTAAGGCATACCTGCTGCTTCTATTACTGTTGTCATTCAGCTTTCGGTGCTCTGTGGCCTTAGTATTTTTCAGTAATTATTTAGGAAAATTACAAGCATCTGCCACAAGCAGCTTTTTTTTTTTTTTTTTTTTTTTTTTTTTTATGTGCTTATCCTTTTAAAAGAGGGTAAGGTTGTAACGGTTTGTAAATCCTTCAGGCATTCACTTCAGTTCTGGATTTGTATCTGGTAAGAGTAACTCCCTGGTTTGCTTTACAAAGCTAGGTGGTACAAATGAGAATTACAGTTTGCTAATCTGTCAAATTATCAAAAGCAGTCATAGCAGTTGAACAGTTCTTTAAAGGAAATCCATTTTGGAATACTAGTACTCACTTTTGACTTAGTGTGTAGTATCAGTAGAACAATCCACTTGCCTGGTGTCCAACAGCTGTCTAGATAGAACAAGCAGTTTATGGTTCTGATTTAGGACTCACTTGGTTGTTGTCTTTTTCCTTGCAAGTTGGGTGCCACTTTTATCTTCCAGCTGAACGACAGTGTTACCTTGTCTTCTTCCAGTAGAAGTGGGGGAAGATGCATGATAATTACTTCTGAAAGGCTGTTACTCAGAAGTTTATGTTATGATATGCTCTTGGAATGGTGATAAGCCTCTGGCTCAGTTTTTTTCAGAAACAGTGTCATTGATTGTTCTGTTCTCCATGTTTTGCTGCAGAAATAGATGGGGTTTTATGAGAAATGCCTTCTGGAGTTGCTTCTCCTGTCCATATGAGGGCGTTTCCATCCTTGGTGAGGACTTTTTTTGTGGAATCCAACAAAGGAGCATCTCATAGAACCTCTGCATTGCTTCCAGTTAATAATAATTTTTTCTCTGAATGCAGTCAGGGAAGTTCACGGTGGAATTGCTAAGAGATTTTTACTTGCATTGTACTGAAGTGTTCTCATGTGGTGCTATTATTAATATCTAGTTGCATAATTGTATTTATAATTCCCTTAGCAATGTAACAGTAAAGTCAGTAACTACAGGCTATGCCTTTGATATTTTTAGAACAGCAAGGCTGAAGTAACAGTACTCTTTACCTGTCTCTATAACATCTGAGTATTTCCTGTTTGAATTAACTTAATAAGAAAAATTACTGCCTTCTGTCAAGCTAATCTGTTTGTGTGAGATTATCCTCTGGCAAAGCTTTTTTTTTTTTTTTTTTTTCCCCTTTTTTCTGTTAATACTGTTTTATTTTGGAAAATATCTAGAGGTTTTACAAATACAAATTATTTCCATGAACGAAAGTATTTTTGGAAACTTAAGATACAAAGAGCAGATTACTTGTAAATATAGCTTGTAAAGTGGGAATAATATTCATCTAGCTGTGGATCTTCAAAATTTATTTTCTTACAGACTGATCTGTATCTAGTCCATAGGTTGTGCGGTTCAGTGTTTCTGCTTATTTGTTTGGTTATTTTCCCTATCATTTATGAAGATTATGAATTTCTTTTCATTTTGCCATCACATGGTGACAGGACTACTTGGATTTTTGAGTAATTTTTGTTGCCTATGTTGTGTCCTTTCATAGGACTGTATTACACAGGGTTTTTTCCTTTTTTCTTTACTGAGGGTCTTATTTTGACAGTCTTTTCCCCCTTTCTCTTTCTTACTCAGAAATGCTCCTGCCCTGCTGTTATCTTAAATTAATATAGGTACTTAGAAACTTTTAGGTAAATTTAGTGAGCTAAATGTGGCAGCTGGATTTTGAGGAATTTGGGATGTTAACTTTCAGACTATTTTTCTGTCTTTTCAGGTCTCTGGATGGCAGACTCTGAAAAGAAATGCTGTTTTAAGAGGTATGCCTCCTGTAGGCCAAAATATTCTTGACTAGTATGTATGTAAAGTTATAAGGCCATACTTCTAAGGAGTCCTTCTGCTGATCCTATCTGTAAGCTTGCATGAATAATAGTTTGCAGTGCTGAAGTCTGTCTGAAAGGTGAAAGCTTGTACAGAGACATTTAGGCTTGTTTTATTGGTGACCCAGTAGAGAGATTTGTAATACACTGCTTACCTTGTTGCTTGGTTATTTTAATAGAACACTGCTCTAGTGGATGAAGTATAGCATGAATAAAACCAGTTGACTAGCTGACATGTACATATCTCTGCCATCTCTCATGATGCTGTGTATGGGGCTTTGTTTGTTCGTTTTTTATTTGGGAATATAGTTCAGATGCTTTTGTAATTGTCTTCACTCACTTTGTCCAGGTGTGATGTAAGATTTACCAGGCAGTGAGAAGCTGATATCAGGCCAACTGTGTGGTATAAAAGAATGTCAGTTGGAACCATGATGAAAAAATAGTAAAGTTTGTGCAAGTGATCATTTTATGCATATTAGCTGGATGTTTGGAACATTTTGTGGTTTTGTTTGGGGTTCATGTTCTAGCACTTAAAAGAGAATGCCTCTTCTCCATTGTTGGTATGTTGCTTCTGAATAATTAATTGCTTTACAGCTGTTAGGAAAACTGTCTCTTCAAAATTGAACTGCATAGCTTTCCTATTATGTCTCCCATCCTTTTCAGGACTCATAAGTGGAAAATTTTAAGGAAGTAGGGTTTGTTTGTCTTTCTAAGAGAAAGATTGGTATAATTCAGTCTTTTCAGGGCTCTCATTGTTTTCTTTTTTTTGTTGTTGTTTTTAAACAGCACCTCCTAATTCTTTTTTAGGCATGATTCAGGTTTCTGAAACTTTACAATGTTTCCTATTTCTCTAAAGCAGTTCAATGCTGATTTGTTTGTCCTGACTTAAAAATAAGTCACAGTGTGAAGTTCTAAGAACTTGGGTTAAAAGTGGCCCTTCTGCTGTTGACTGAGATTCTGGTGTTGCTGGTTTTCATGCTGTACTTACAAAAGTTCTAAAGAAAATTATGCTAACAATAAGGGAATTATTATTGCTGTTTTCAACACACCTGTGGACAGAAATAAAGAAGATGGTGCTGCACTATTCTTGGAGTTGTGCACTTGTAGGCCGAGAAACGTTGCACCCAAGTTGCAAAACAGGACATTGCTGTGAGACAGCATGAGCACTTTTTGCCAGTGAGACTGCTCAGACCCTGAAACCGGTTGCCTAGGGAGGCTGTGAAATCTTCATTCTTGAAAGTTTTCTGTGTGTTGCAAGAATAGGCCTAGAGCAACTCCATTTAAATAGGCCTAATTTGAGCACAAGGTTGGATTAAAGTAGTTTGGAGGTTACTTCCAATCTCTGTTATTTCATAAATCTCTGTAACCTGCTGACCTGCTGAGGGGGTCTTTTTTTTTTTTTTTTTTTTTTTTTTTTTTT